CGCCACTCCCCCCCCCGCCAGCTTCCCGTCCATCTGCACACCATCTCCCCCCACCCCTCCCTGCTCTACATCTGGCCGCCAGGGGTACACTTATTAAAAAAGGCTGAAAACCTCTGGCATATGAGGTTCTTATTCATTAACTCTCAATGATTCCTTATCAAATCAGTTCAGTTTATCAGTAAATATAAACATATGCCATCTTCTGAATGTTAACCTTGCAAGCTTTATCTTAAACTTGTATATGTGCTTCACATATTATTTGGGTCAGGGGATATGTGTTGAGTAAGAACTCATCAATTTAACTAGGCACATTTAGAGTAGAGCCCTAAGGTAGCTATATTCTTAGCTGCACAAATTATTACTTTAACTTGAATCTAGCAATTCAAAACCATTCATAAATGTCTGAGTGTAAATAGTGGATTGAGCTGCTGTTGTAAGCTTTGTGATTTAGGAGCATTAGGATGTTGGCAAATCAAATTATATTATTTGAAAAAATAAGGATACATCTGAATGATTTTTTTGATGATGAGGAAATGGAGAAAACAGGTAAAACCTTGGGTCAGCCTTCAAGAGCTAGTTCATAAATAACAATCCTGCAGACACACTCCTGTTCCCAGTATATGCCAGTGTCTGACAGTCTATTTCAACCCTCTGCATAGCTACATCAAAAGCGAGCTTCAGAGTAGTTCAAGTGGAACAAAGTGCTCCTTAAATTACTGTTTAAAAAGAAGCTTAAGTTGCACTGAGTAGTGATAGTGAAATGCTGATGGAAGAACAAAGGGGCCTGGAGAAGAATGAAACATTGTGCAATAAGCCTTAGTTATTTCTGAATCCTTAGTGGTGTTATAAATAACCCAGAATTAATAACTTCCTATCATATGGGCTTCATTTTTGCCTTACCTCATCCCTACATGCAGACCTGCCTGTAACAGATTTCTTTTTAAAGTTCAAACTTGAAGGGCTCAGTTATAAAAAAAGTCTATCAAAATAAATGTACCGTGGTACACAATGTTTGCACGTGCAATTTACCATAATGCATATAAGTG